TTGTTGGATTTTTGGCATTATCGCAATATACTATATCTTTTTGCTACGAATATGTTTCAGATTTAAAGAAAACAATACATGATTTTGTTTCTCTCATTATTTGATATAACCAAAAATTAAAAAAGATTAAGTTTAAGTGCCCATAGTTGGATTTATATTATTTGTTATTCTTGAAAATTTCTTTGTGGCATTCTTTGATATTGGGATAGTTTGAATCTCCTTGCAAGTAGAGTTGCCACATTTAGTAATTAGTATTTAAGAGCTGACTGACGAATTAAGATTATTACATTTCTCCGTGCTATCCTTGCACAGATTTTAATGAGTGTCTTTAGTGTTATTGATTTTAGTTTTTTTTCTTATTTACGATTTTATGAAGTTATATTATATAAAAGATACTTGCAGATAGCAATGCACTTTCATTTAGTTTGGTAAATTACACACAACATTCTATTTTAGTCAATAAGTCTACTAATGTTTCAGGCTTTATTTTTGTTGATGTCTCATAGATGTTAGTGATACTGTTTCAAGCAGCATCATATATATTAAATTCCCATAATTATCAAGCTCTTTCTCAGCAATTATTTGGTATTAGACGTTTACTTCTCTAGCGCACGCACCCTAACCCAAGCACTCTCTGTGATCCACTTCACTTTAAAATCGATTCTATTTTATTATAAAACTTCTTATTATTTATTTGCCTTTATGTATACTGTATCTATATCCTGAAATTCTTTTGTGCAGTTCCTGTTTCATTCAATTATATATATTCAAGCTAAGTGCTTATTTCATACCATTTCATTATCATCTTACCTATTTCGTATCTTCAACCAAGTCTCCATTCTCTAATCGGAATCCGACTGGATCTATATCTATATGCGATCAAACTGGGTTACCAAATGATCTTTCAGGGTCTGCTGTACGGCATCTTGCCTTTCCACCGTCTCGTTTGCGTCGGGCCTCTTTGTCACTTGCCCGGCCTCTTGTCTCAGAAGGTAGCCAGCTTGATCAGTTGGTCAATGCTGCCTCGCTCAAGACAGCTGATGCATTGGCGAGATCTGAAGCGGAGGCATTGCTAAATGACCGTCAGGCAGCCTCTGGACTTGCCGGAAGACGGCGCCGTGGAGCCAGCATGACTTTTATCTCATCTTCAGCTCTTTCTGCTCCGAATGGAGTTGCTGCCATTACCATTTGTGGCCCCATACCCGCTACGCTTATGCTCAGCTCACGACCTATGTCGAGAGAAGCCTCGACTAGTAACCATCTCTCACCTATACTGGATGACGGGACCGTCTGTGATGACGACGATTCACGTAGCCGGTCGCCCTCAGCTTCCATAGAGTCATCTTTAATCCCAATCGTGAAATCATTACTCCCTGCCTCTGGAGCGAGTACATATATCGTGGACCAGGCCGATCCATCGGCGACCACATGCCTTTCACCAGCTTCCTCTTTGACAGCTTCACTAGTGCAAGAGCAGTTGCTCAAAGTGCAGCTGCATCAACAGCGCCGTCGCATCTCTGGTGAACTCTCGCGCTCATTGAACTCGCCGCAACCAAAGACTACACAGGCCAATATCACAATATTAGAGGCCGAGGCATCTTCGCCATTAGTTTCTGATGTTTCACACATTGGTTTGTCTAGGGACAGCAATAGCAGCACCACTACCCTCACCACTGCTGTTGCTTCCCTCCAGAAATCATGTGCCCAACCTTTTACTCAATATAAGCTGGGAGATAAAGTTCAAGAGGACGACAAGGGAGAGGATGAGGAAGGAGATTCATTTGGATGGCTCAACCAAACCGCTTATATGAAAAGTCCCCTCTCCTCCCGTCTGGTTCGTGAGTACTTGGCATCTGTGAGTTTACCCATATGATAGGGATTTTAAATAAAACTGATGTTTCCATTGAATTTCGCATGACCTGGCTTTCCAAAAATGTGTTTTCATCCTGCATGGACTACAGTTTCGACCCTTTTGGGAAATCAAGCCTATGTGAGATGTAATGGGAACGTCACCTCTACTCATATTATTATGGGAAAATTCAACTATCAGTCCATCATCATCTTAAACGAAATATGTGGAACGCAACTCATTTCTGAGTTACCGGTAGTCTCAAAAACCTGGTAAATAACGAAACAAGGAATTTTCATTTTAAAGAAAGCTGTAATATATAAGTAGCTATGATTCCTTCCTTGTCTTCGCCTAATAGGGCTCTTTTTAAAATCAGAATCCCTAAACGTGGTTTTCCACTAATAAACATAGCAGGGTGCGCAATTAGTGGTTTGAATCTTCATATGCTTAATAAAGCTTTTATATCCACCTAAAGTACCAAAGTATGATTTTTAAAATATTTGTGGCAGTTCTCGAGGGAAGAATATTGTCATGGTATTGGGAAACTCTGAAACGCATTATGCACACTTTCCGGTCTACTACAATTATTTTTACTCGAAATTGATTTCCGAATTCTATAGTTTAGTAGACATTAATGCGTAAGATTAGGGCGTCCATGGAACAACAGCAACAGCCAACAGCAGGAAGAACTACTGAGCAAGAGAAGGATCATGGAATAGCTTTGAGTCTGGTGTGATAGCTCATACCTCTCTGACATTAGCAAAACATGCACACAATAAAGAATATTATATGCATAAACGTGAGTCAGCATTAGAGGATCGTATGATAGATTATTTGTGTAAGTAAACAGTTAACATCACATCCACTTCCTGTTCATGAATTAACTTTACTTAATTTCAAGCATGTAGAATAAGTTTGAGATAGCTAATCACATGAGATGCCTCATTAAGATCACAAGGCTAAATATAAAAAGTTGACAGGTTTCAGCTGGCGACCTCTTCTCTTGATTTATTATGTTGGTGCGCTATCTCAAATTATGGATTCTTGCTATGATAATGTCTGCCAATGAAGAAGAAAACTTAACAAAAGTTCATCGCACAATCCAACAATTTTTATTCTACAGTAATCCTCCTTCGGTCTCCAGTGAAACCAATCCATGAATTCATTCC